ATTCCCATAGCAATAAAAACTGGAATTCTTAAATTGTATACAAATATACAAGACCTTTTTAAAGAAAATTATAATTTGTTACTTTCAGTCAAATTAAATACCAGAATCAATAGATACTAATATCTGAATGAAAAGAGGCAATACTGTGAAGTCGTGTAGTTTAAAGTGGTGTAGTCAATACTGTGAAGTGGAATAGTGAACACTGTGATGTATCATCTATATTCTTCTTTAAGTGTCATTGCCATAGCTGCCACAAATGCTGTGGAAAGACCACCTTAAGTTGTCACCCACTTTAGAAGTTGCCTTAGGTAAAAAAAAGCCTCTTTGCCCAAAACTATGTCCTTCTCCTAGTCCCTTATACTCAGTGACCAACTGATGAAGTAACTTAATCTTTTCAGCCCATTGCAGGACAAAACTGACTTGACATTCCAAGTCCAGAGTTTTCTATTTGTTGGCTGAGGCTGACACTAGATCTGCAGTACCTCATCTTCTTCCTCTGACCACTACAGCTTTCATTTAGCTTCTTTTTCAAAGAGATCTTCCTAATAAACTTTGTGCATGCTGTCTCTGTCTCCAAGTCTCTTTCCCAGAGAACCTAGCCCATGATGGTTATCACTTCCTGTGAGGAATTTAACTTCTTCATTTTCATCAATTAGTCAAAGAAACTGAAGAACTCAAATTCCAAAAGGAATTGGTATGGGAGTGGGTTTACAGGCTATGTTTAAAGTTCATTTATTTGGAAGATTTATATGTTAAACTTTTGAAAAAAAAAGTATTGGTGTGGAGAAGAGTAATACTTTAAGACCAAACATAAAAAATTCTTGAAAATTACAGTAGCTGAAACAGATACCAATACAACACTGTAGACAGACAAATAGGTAAAGGAAAGAATCCAAAATCTTGTCTATTGTGTTGCTGAATATAACATATGATGATTCATGAACTGAAAAGAAAAAGATGGAATATTTAATAAAGGTGTTGGGGAAAATATCTATACCTTTGGGGGAAAAAGTTTTCTGGAAATTGTCTCACATCATACCCCGAATGACTTGCTAGATGGATTCAAACACATAACAATATTCAGCTTGGGCAACATGGTGAGACCTTGTCTCTAAGCAAAAATTTGATAAATAAAAAAGTTAGACGAAGGAAGGAAGGGAGGAAGGGAGGGCAGGGCAGGGAGAGGTGAAAGAAAGAGTGAGAGAAGGAAAGAAAGAAAGAAAAGACAGAGAAAGAAAGAAAGAGAAGGAAGAAGGAAAGAAAGAAACAAACGAAAGAAGGAAGGAAGGAAGGAAGGAAGGAAGGAAGGAAGGAAGGAAGGAAACTACAAAAGATGTAGGAATTTAAAGCTACTATAAAATATAGAAGAATTTTTAAAAATAAATCCTTCCAAAAAATAAGATAGCAATATTAGAACTCTAAAAGATAAGAATTTAAATTTAAATTTAATGAAATTTAAAGCTTATGATTGACAAAGAAAACCCTAACTTCCACAAACATGAAGAGATAAAGCACAGAAATTAGAAAATGTTTTTTAAAACTTATAATAGATAGGTGATCGGCATCCTTAAAATCCCGAATCAGTCTACCAACATTATTCATTTTTTCTTGTGAGTCATAGAAAATTCATAGCATTTACAACTTTAATTGTTAATTTAAATCTCTATTAAATTCACAAGAAAAGTGTATAATTTCTGTCCATCTTTCCATCTGCACTCCAGTTGAGATTTCTTTCTTAGTGGACCTGGGTACTCCACACAAAAATCTGAAATATAACTGGCACATTTAGCCAGTGAATAGTGGGTCATAAAGTTATTTTACCCAAGTCCAAATATACTGATTTATCCAGGAGCTTCTTGAAGATATTACGCTAGGAACCAGGGTCACTTTCCACAAGGCCTTCTAGATACTGATTCTCAAGCCAGTATTTTGACATTCATCTGACAGTTTCTGAAGGCCACGTTTGGGGAAATTTGTGACTCCAGTACAGCTTGATGCTAGTATATCAGTTTTGCTAATCCTTATCTAGGTAGTAACAGCCTTATAGATACAGAAATTGAGGAGTCAGAGATTGAAGGATTTTTCAGGAAATCTAAGTGAGCTTCTGTTTGCTTTTTAGGAGGGCATAACCTGCATGTCCTGAAACACACAGGAAAAGCTACACAATTTTTGAGATCTCATCTTTATTTACATTATTGCACTCTTTGTGTTTCTGTTTTACCTAAAACTCTGAAATCAACTACATTTCCAGAATATATTCTTTATTAACAATTTTTTCTTATTTTTAATTTTTGTGGGTATATATGTTTGGGGTACATGAGGTGTTTTGATACAGTCTTGCAATGTGAAATAAGCACATCATGGAGAATGGGGAATCCATCAACTCAAGCATTTATTCTTTGAGTTACAAACAATCCAATTACACTCTTTTAAGTTATTTTAAAATGTACAAGTAAGTTATTATTGACTATAGAATATATTCTCATAAAGCATATACTTATGACACACAGTCTACTATTCCTTATTTCAGCACAGTCTTGCCTAAAAGAGCAGGGATCTAGGCACTTGATGTTAATGTTGCTGACCTGACACTCACAAATCGCCCTTTGGCATACCCCCAGACCCAATTTGAAGTCTGTGATTAACATATAAACAGCTTTTGTTGCTGTTGACATTGAATTTTTTCTTGGCCTTTTTATCTAGCCATTTTGCTTTAAGCAACACATTCTCGTTAGAACTCGTAGTCCCATTGTTTTTCTTAGTCTAAATTATTAATGTGCTGTTAGACTAAAGTACTGTATCTGAACACTGATTATTCAGGACTGACACCATACTAAAACCCTTGCAAGAATAATAACTAATATTCGTTGAATGCCAACTGCCATATGATACTGTGCTAAGACCTTTGTCTTTACCTATATGATTACATTTAATCTTCATAAAACCTATACAATGTGTATTAATAGCTTTGTTTACAGATCGTGAAACTAAGGACAGAATTCAGATGACTTAGGAAAAGTTACGAAGCTTTGAGTGTGAGAGTTTGAAATTTAAACCAAGGCCTCTCTGACAGAAAGTATCAGAGTATCATCTCCCTAAACTAACTGTTATTGCTACCTCCTTTATAGTATGGCAGTTAGAATCAAAATCTATCCCGTGGCTGACATCTTTCTGAAGGAAGTATAGGTATTTATCTTTCCTTCAATGATATCTATCTTTCCTTCAGTGAAGTTCAGATAGTCACACTTCTAGCCACTCTGTGACATTTTCTAGTTCTCTATATTTTGTTCTTAGTGGTTGTAAGACTCTGGGTTCATAACAAACTAATCACTTATCACAAAATGGTTTAGAATTTATTTCTTTATAGAAAGTTACTCTACAATATCCTTTTTATTCTTGGTTATAAAATACTTATGTCATATAAATGTTACAATTTTCAAGTAATAAAGTTGTATTTCTCATTGTTTAATTAAACCAAGATACGGGGCACTGATAATCATTTTTTAACATTTTTTTTAAATTATTTTTTAATTTTCCTTGTTTCTTCATTTCTTGCTGCTTCATTGCCACAGAAGCTAAATCCATTAACAAAGACTGTCTTATTTCTTATTTATTTATTTCTTATTTCTTATTTATTTTATTTTCCCAATATTTTGACCAAGTAGGCTCAGAGATTTTTTCAGTCCAACTCTTTTCTTCCGTCTTTTGAGTGAATGTTAAAAACATGTATTCATTACCTTTCTTAGGATTCATTGTTTTATTTTTCATGAATTATTCTTTTGAAATATTTATGAAACATATCTTAGTACATTCAATTTAATTTCTGGCCTTCTAATTTTCACTTTGGTAATTGTTTGTAGAGAGTTATCCACTTAGATACTTGAAGGACTTCAGAGTAGGTGGGAAACTATGTAAACTGAAAAAGGAAGTGTTTAACCATAATTTTTAAACTCCATTGTTCTTAATCTTAGTATAGGAAAATAGAACATTGATTTACTTCAGAAAAACTTGTATTTGTGAGAACAGGAGGATAAACAGTGGTATTACTTTTAATAAGTAATACATATCAAAAAGAAGATGTTGACTCTGTTGTTTCAGTGAACTAATAAATTTCTGCATACAAAAAAGGTTATCAATATGAATGGACTCAGTAATATTGTACTTTCTTTATTCTGGTAGATTGTTCTTCCTCTTTGGTTCTTGACAGTAATCACATGCGTCTACTTTGCATAATGCTACAAAATGTTATTCTTATAACCACATCTTAAAATCAACTCAGTACTTTTGAAAAGTACTTTTACTTAACTTAGTTTTACTTTGAAATTTTATTTTATTTTTAACTTTACTAAAACTGGAGTACGTTTAAATAAGGAGACTGTCTAATTTTGGATGCATTAAGTTACTCTCTCACAACAATGAATCTTTTTAAGTAAGGTGGAAGCAATGTTTTATGCTTTATTTTGTTGTTCAATCTGCTCTCAAATTATGTATTTACTAGTGTTGTTGCACTTAAGTCAGCGTTTTTGTCAAAGTTTTCCAGAATGGGGGGGGGGGGGGGGGGGGGGGAGAGAGAGAGAGATTGAGAGAGAGATTATGGGAATTGACTCATGTGATTATGAAGATTGAGAAGTCCCATGATACAGTGCCTGCAAGTTGGAAAATCAGGAATGCTGGGGGTACAATTCAGTCTCAAATGCAAGTCTAAAAGCCTGATAACCAGAGGGGAACTGATGGTGTAAATTCTGGTCTGAGTCAAAGACGTGAAAGCATAAGGGTGCATAAGTAATGGTGTAAGTCCTTGCCTGAATCCAAAGACCCATAAACCAGGAACAATAATGTGCAAGGGCAGGTGAAGATGGATAGCTCAATGCAAACAGTAAGCAAATTTGACCTTCTCCCTTTTTTTCTGTTTGGACCCTCAACAGATTTTATGATGTTCACCCATGTTGGTGAAAGCAATCTTTACTCTGCCTACTGATTCAAATGCTAATCTCTTCCAGAAACGTTCTTGAAGATATACTCAGAAGTAATGTTTTACCAGCTATCTGGGCATCCTTTAGCTCAGTCAAGTTGATGCATAAAATTAACCATCACAGTGAGTGTTTGTATTCTTCCTTTGTTTTCCTTTTATAACCATTACAACAACAACAAAAGAAACTGTTAACCCTTTCCCTGGTTAGTAAGAAAATGTGCAGCTCACTGCCAGTGCTCATTTAACTTTACATAAACATGCTCTTTGAGGCTGAAGCAAATCTGACTGGTTTTCAGTTTGAAAATAAAATATACAAACTGTTCTTGGAGTTACTTCCAAACAAAACTAACATCAGAATCGTCTAAATCATCACAATTGTCTATTTTGGAAAAATCGGATTCATCAAGTGAATCTCCAACCAACAACTGCTACAGAATGATATTAACATCATGCATAGGAATGCTATATTTTCTAGGATATGACATTTAGAGCGATTGAGAATTACTATATTTTGTAAATGTAAATCCCACTACCAAAACCAGAATGTTATAAATAGAATGATGTCTTTTGTTTCCAAAGTCGATATACTAGAATGCTGCACAAATAATAATAAAAGTGAGATATTGTGTGACAAAGTTATCTTGGGGTAAATGCTGCAGCTGCAAGCACCACTAGTGAGTATTCTTGGGGCAAATGGAAAAGGGGTTAAGAAAGTGTAATTGTTCCATTTCCATAAATGTACTGCATCAAAAAGGAGGAATTAGTGGAATTAGCATAAATATTAGAGGACCTACTTAGTATTTGAGAGCAATTGGTGTCAGTTTTCCCAATTTTCAGAATTTAATGATCAATAAGAATCAATAAATATTTTTAGAATGAATGAATAAGATTAGCTTTCTTCTGAATGAGCTTAATATCATGTGGGAAATGAAATGTCTGACAGGCAGAGAGTAGGTTCACCTGAGATGTTGCTGTCTGCCTCCCTCAACTCACTGTTCTCTATTCTGGAATGTGATCTAATTGATCTTTCTCTTTCACTTTACAGCCATTTCACAAGTTGCAATAATTTTAATTAGTGGTTTGTTTATTTTGTCTCTGTTACCCTATTGTAAAGTAATACCCAAGTGAGTTATGGGCCATGTCTATCTTGTTCAAAATTTTAGCTTGGTAAATGTAAAGATGAGGCTCTCAGTTAAAATGTGTGGACAGGATAAATAAGCTTCTGCATGGGTTCTTTTGCATCTCATCAAAAAAAGGAAAGTGATTACATAATTTTTTTTTTTCTATTCTGATAACATCTGTTTGGTCTGGTCTGTGCATCAAACTTGCCATGAACTCACATTGGCTATCAACTTCACAGGGTGTTTGCAATGACAATTACCCTCAAAAACCCTGAATATTTATATACTAGGTCAATTACTTCACTAAATATGTAACATTACTAACAGCTGTGAGTCTGGTACTGCTGAAATCTAGTTGCCTATAAACCATTTGGTACTCAGATATTTTATTTGGGAAAATCTGCATACAAATCTGGATTTCTGCTACCTTCTCTCCTTAGGAACTTAAGGACTCCTAACAAGTTAGGAACTAAATTAGGGAACCCTAACTGTTTCATCCTCGTTGAAATTTATACTGAAAAGCAATATGATAAAGGGACCTAGTCTAGAACTCATTTGAAAGAAGGAAGAGTATCTCCTACAGATGTCCAAGGTAATATAGCTAAGAAAAAAAATCTCATGATTAACTGAGGTTTTTCTAAACATGGTAGATTGAAGTTGTCAGCTGTAAGAACTGCTAGTTCTGTAGCATACCCAGAAGAAAATGCAGAAATTAGAATAATGTTTGCAGGAGAGTATAGGCAAATGGAAATTTTATATTGTCTAAATAATAGTGCTTTATAAACATATTGCGCATACCAGGTGGATCTTGAAAGATTTTTGGACACAGGAACCCACACACAAAAGCCGATAATGTGCTTACCCTGTTCTTGACTGAGCTGTCACCCTGAGATAGTCATTTGGGCCTGGCTTCTCTCCACCTGCAGTGCCACTGCCAGAGTTAAACTCATAATCTCTCACTGCAGCTTTTCTAACTGCTTACCCTTTGGTGTACCTAGTCTTCAGTTAGCTCCCCTTATTAGTCTTCTCTATTGCTTTTTAAAATGGTAATTGACACTCCCCATTAGCTTACCTTTGCCTTCAAGAGCAATCAGAATTCATTAGCCTGACAAATAGGCCTCTACCCAGTATGTTTGATTTTTACTTCTCTCCAGTTATTGTATTCTGTCTTACCCTTTGTCTTGTCTCCTATAAATGTCAATTATTAACACATTTTTCAGCAATTTGCAAACACAATACTTTTTTTCTTAGACTTTGCCTTTTGCCATGCTTATTTTTTTTTTTTTTCTTTTCAGAGTTGCTTCCCCCTTCTTTACTATGAAAAGTCAACTTTTGAGCCTTTTCTTAAATGCCATATCTCCTGGGAGGCTTTTTCTAACTCACAGGTAGAGATGGATATTCTGAAGCCTTAAATTTGTACCTTGGTCACAGTAAGTATCACCCATATTGTAATTTATTTGCTTATATACCAATCTTCCTCCAGTAGTCTGAGAAATTATTGATAAATTTTCACTGGCAACTACTTTATCTTTGTAAGCCTGGTTTATTTGTTGATTCTCATCAAGCTTTTGTTAAATGAATAATTATCTTGAGAAGCCAATCCCTCATAACATCAGGTAGTAAAATTTCCTAGATATCTTGGAAGAACACTTTTGGAAACAATGGTCTAGAATATTCAAACAAATTACATAATAAATTGTGAAAACAAAAATCTTAGAGCAAGCATAGAGCAACTACAACCAAGCAAATAGGAATGCAGAAATGGCTTGAAATAATTACCAACTGGTTTTGGAGTGTTATACCTTTTTTTTGGTAAAAACACTGACTGACTGAAGAATTTAGTGAATGTTCCAGTAGAGGGATATTAGCTCACCAATGCTTTTGTTTCCACAGAAATAACTGCTGCTAATATAGTCTTCCATAATTGGTATCTGGGGGCTTGGGGGAATAAAAAGGGAATAGTTAATGGATACAAATTACAACTAGATGGAAGGAATAAGATCTAGTGTTTGGTAGCACAATAGAACCATAGAGTCAACAATAATTTATTGTTTATTTCAAAATAACAAAAAGAATATAGTTGAAATGTCTTTAACACAAAGCAGTAATAAATGCTTGAAATGTAGGATATCACAATTACCCAGATTTGATCATTACATATGGTATGCTTTTATCAAAATACCACATTATTTCATACATTTTTTTACAACTATTATATACCATATTTAAAAAAAGTAAAATCTAAGTTTGTGGGCTGAGCGTGGTGTCTCATGCCTGCAATCCCAGTACTTTGGGAGGCAGAGGTGGGTGGATTACTTGAGGTCAGTGGTTTAAGACAAGCCTGGTCAACATGGTGAGACCCCATCTCTACTAAAAATACAAAAATTAGCCAAGCATGTAGGCATGGGATTGTAGTCCCAGCTACTCAGAAGGGTGAGGCAGGAGAATCGCTTGAAGCCAGGAGACAGAGGTTGCAGTGAGCCGAGATCACACCACTGTACTCCAGCCTGAGCAATAGAGTGAAACTCTATCAAAAAAAAAAAAAAAAAAAAAAAAAAAAAAAAAATCTAAGTTCATTCATCCAAAGTGAATGTGGATTAATTGGTTTCTCAGGTAGATTGTAAAGATTAATAAAAACAGGGCCTGAAATCAGAAAACTATATACTAATAATATTTTTGAATATGCAATTTTTAGAATAGGTAGAAGAAAGCCATTCCCTGCACAAGCTGATATCTGATCTGCTAGAGTAGATAGATGGATGGATATCCCCTGCAGTTATTCATTTTTAAACATTAACTTATCTATTATTGTTTACTTGGATGGCATTATAGATGTAAGTTTGTGTATCATACTTCAGCACCATATTTAAATTAAAGCATCATCATCATCTTCTTTTGAAACTTACCTCAATCTACGCACACTGGACATATGCTACCTATTTTTTCCCTTGAAGGTTATGTTGTTGGCTTAAGCAATTCCCTGGGTGAATTCAAAACGAAACAACAAAGAAATCTAGAAAATCACCAGGTTTCCATTCACATATCCATTGTAACCCAAGGTAATTGGAAATTGTTCCTTAGGAAATATCTGCGAAGCTCATAGTTCACCAATTTAAATTTGAGAACTAAACTCAATACTCCAGGGTATTGATTAAATTCTGCTTTCACATATGTATGTTTCAGAATAAATATATGCATTCTCACATGATTTTTTTATTCTAGGGAATTTTAATTTTGGTTGATAGGTAAATATCAAATAAGTATTAGTTCATTTCTTAACTGAGGACTAGAAAAATCTTAAGTTTCTCTAGGTGATTCTATTCAATTAATGAAATTCTAGAATGTATCCTCTAATATGGTATTGATGAAGTTGTACATATGTTTATTTGGATATATCAGAATCCATAATTCAAATTTATTGTACAACAATCATAGTTAATAGCACATATTTTTACAGTTGGGATTGTTTTAGAATCCGACAAGTTTTAAAAATTCGCAATTAGGGATAGTTTTGGATATTTATTGGATGTAGCCTCCACAGAGTTAGGAAAACTGTAATGAGGAATACATAAAGAAGACTTTATAAAAGTCTACACTAAATATAAGTACTATTATCTATATGGAATGTATGATAGAACATGGAGAGAAACAACATAACATGAAGTATTATAGCACTCCAAAAAGAAAACAAAAAGTTACAAGAAAGATTATATTTGTATTATGCAAACAGAAAATACAACATTCGAGTAGTTCTGCTAGAGGCAAGTGTTGCTACCATATATGCTTCAATTGTGTTCAGTTCTCTTGTACTGTTATCTCTCAGTACCTTATTATTTTACCTGCTACATCAATCTGTGTGGCAGTCAAAACACCGCAGTGTGATATGACAGAAAATACACAGGAAAAACGGTTCATTTATTTGTGTCTGATGCTTGCTTTCAGTTTACATCAGAACTTTGAGTTATGAAAAGAGTTGACAGATGGAAGCAAGGGTAGGGCAGCTGGCTTATATTACAGTCTTTTGTACCTTTGAATCACTTTGTAAAAAAGAAATTGTTTCTGCACACTTAAAAAAAAAAGCTTTTAAAATTAATGCGATTTGAAGAATTTTGCTTTTACATATGTATTTCCGTGTATTTTTGAACATAATTGGAAGGTTATGCTATTGACTCATGAAAGTTCCATTTACCAACCTCATATTTCTATAGTGTTAAATATGTGGCAGACTGACTCACAGAATCCGACACTAGGGCATCCTAGGATTGCCTGTGGTGCCGTGTCTTTCAAGAATGCCTCAATATAATTTTAATGAAATGTGCTTTATTTCAGTGAATTTAACATAAGCACCGTTATTAAAGAAAGATGTTTTAAGAGGATTAAAACACAGTGATTTTGTATTTTTGTAATAAGAATTTTGTTTTGTAAAAGAGAATATTTATTTTATAGTATCTTTACTTTAACATAGCAATTTTAATAACCAAATTATACAGACAATTGTTTGCACTGCTATTAATATCTGTGGCTTTTTCTTATCCAGCAGTGTCAGCAAAGCAGAAAGTAAATCCATTGCTAAAGAAATGGAAGTTAAGATGGTCTTACCTGAAAACAGAAACAATTTAGTATTGTAGTGGAGACTGGTGGTTCCTTCACTGTATGAGTTAGGAATACAATTCTGCTATGACATATCTCTGCTAATCATAGACTCAGGGTTTGTGGGAACTGGAAATGAATGTTAGTAGAAACTGTATTTCATTAACTCTAAAAAACGATAATAATTCCTTGAGTTCTCAATTTTTCTTCAAATGTTGACAACTCTATTAACAGAATATAGTATTGAAATGTTTTAAGTGTGCCCATGTTAGAGATCTGAAAAATTAATTTTGTACCCCAGATAAAGAAATAATTTGAATTCAAGTCTCTAGAACTTACCAGGTCTGCTTACATCCTGCTGTGCTAATGCAAGTTAAAGCAGATGCTTTCTATGGAGGTAAAAGACTAACAATATAAGCAAGATAATATTCTTCATTTTGAGATAAGAAATGAATAATGCTTCTTATTCCATGCTTTTTCCCTAATTTATATATCTTAAGATTTTGGGGGCACCATCAATACTATATGTTCCTTCTGTTATGAGAGAGACACGCTTTCAAGTCCTTAGGTTCTGCCTCGGCTAAACTCTCATGTTTGTGCCTTCATAAGATCAGATGGAGAATATTATTTTCTAAGTAATTACTTCAGTGAGAAAGTTAAAGAAAATAGTCTTTCCTAAATATGAATGACAGATTATCAGTCTGCTTTTGTAGATAAGTAAGCCAAGTTTGTGACAGATTATGGAATTGTAAAGGTAAATGAGATATGGTAATTTATTGGAAATATTTTCTGATAATTTCATTAATTATATTTTCCAATCTCATTTAAACCATTGGTCTCTCAGGTAGTTAGGTGACAGTAAATTTAGATAAAAGCTAATCAGACTGTCTTCAATTTCTTAATGAGGTAAAATACAAGCAGTAAGAGAAACACAAAAATAATTCATCTTTTGTGGGGGAGTTGAAATGAAAATTCTATAAATTGATTGTTTCCAAGCTTACTAAAGATGAGTTACAGGTAAATAAAAAAAATAAAAATTAAAAAAAATTGGAACTGGAAGTTTTTAGGGAGAACAATAGTTCTATAAGGAGGAAAACTGATCAGCCATTGCAGTACTGTTCTTTACCCCATTTATAGCCAATGCTTGTTATTTAGTTATTTATTCTTTGTTTTAATATTTATTGCAGGCTAATTATGTGACTAACTTTTACTTAGGTACCCTCTGAGATACCTCCGTATTTCCATCAAAGATCTTAGAATATAGAAAAATAGGGATCACATGAACACAGAGTCATATTAAGACAAACGTGCAATTACAGGACATATGATATACATGTGCTACATATCTTAAATATTTTAAACATGTAAAATTCATTAAAATAAATATTTATACTATTAAAATGCCGTATACATTTTAATTGTGAAGTTATATAGCAACTCATTTTCCTCTTCTGCAAAAAGAAATAACAGTTGTAGAATATAAATTTTTCTCCTCAGCACAGGGAACATTTTCAAGGATAGACTATATGTTATGCCACAGAACAAGTCTCAAAAATTAAAATAAAGAAAATTATATCAAATATATTTTTGACCACAACAGAATAAAACTAGAAATTAATAGCAAGAGGTACTTTGGAAAGTACAAAACACATGGAAATTAAACAATATGGTCCTGAACAACAATAAGGTCAATGAAAAATTAAGAAGAAAATTCAAAAAACTTTTAAATCAAATGAAAATGGAAATGCAGAAGCAGTACTAACAGGGAAGTTCGTAGTGATAAACATCTATTATTCATCAGAAAAGTAAAATTTAAAAAAGCTTCAGATAACCTAATGAT